GAACTGATGGAGTACTGTCAGAGCTAATTAAGCAGTCTGGAATGAACGGAGTGCTGGAATTTGTGAATCCCATTAAATTGGTATGGCATAACAAGGGGATCCTAAATGACTGAACGAAAGACATTGTGGTTCCCATAATAAACAAAGGTTGCTTTTCGGATTCAAATAACTACCGAGGAATCAGCCTACAGTTCGTTATTACAGGTGTTCATGCGCGTTATGGTAAACAGGACCAGACATCTTGGATGAAAAGTAGTATGAATTCAGGGCAGGCAGAGGATGTTTGGATCAGATTTACAATGATACAGCTAATAGAAGAGAAAAGAAAATGGGTATCCAAATTCTTTGCAACATTCGCTGATTTCCCAAAGCATTTGATTCAGTCTGGAAAGATACTTTGTGAAAAGTTGGCAAACAACGGGATCTCAACAAAGATTATTCGCATAATTAAAATAATGCACGATCTGTCACCAAGTGCAGTGTAAATTGATGTAACGTTCGCACATTTTTTCTTACAAGAATTGGAGTTTGGTAAAGAGTTGAATCTGCACTGCTGTTTGCGATGTTTCGTGACTGGGTGCTCCAGCCAATACGGAAAAGGAAGCTACGGCGGAAGAACTGGCTAATTTACGTAAACTCTTTTGGACTGAGGATGATTTATTGCTGGCATACAATTTCGAAACTGCAACATCATTGTTTCTAACTCTGAAACAGAGGTGTTCTTATCTCGGACACTGGATTAATTTAAAGAAGGTGAATTGGATGAAAATTTGTAGAACCAGACGAAGGACTATCTGACCCTTGACACTGAAGTTGTGGAAGAGGTAAAAAGTATCTGCACCTTGGAAGTGCATTGGTGGTGAGCGGACACGTGACAAGCGAAGTTAAAAGGTGCTGTGCGTTAGCATTAGCAGCTAACGACAAGTTATTCAAATTCTGGACGGACAGCGATGTTCCCAGTAGAACCAAACTGCGGATATGCCGGTTTTGCATTTTTAACATCCAACTGTATGGCTTAGAGATCCCAGTGTTGAACAAAGCTAAAAGCAAAAAACTTAAATCAAAGAAACAAAGATTTTAAGATCAACATTAGGACTGAAGTAGTATGATTTGGTATGAAATATTGCTGTAAGAGAAAGAAATTAGTATATCCAACAAGAATGACCGACTGACTGCGAACAAAGCGTTTAAGATGGTGGTGTCATTGCCACTGAATGAACCATAGCCGCATTGTGAAATGGATACCGAAGCAAAGCCTGATTGCAGGGGGCCGCAAGGAACACGTCCAACAAGATTGGAAGTTGTCGTTAAAACTGACATTGCATCGAAAGTACTTAAGAGTGAACACGCATTTTTTCGATCCAGGTGGAATCCTCACACGCTTCCAGTGTCGTCTTCGATACGATGGAATAAAAAGAATACCGTACTGTATCAATATAGGTTCAAAGATAAAACAGCTTCTTCAGAAAAAAAACAAATTTGTAAACTTGGCATATTGAGTTATTTCCCTTATTCTGTAAGAGATCGTAAAGCAATAAAAGCTTTCCCTTGTTTTTCCGCTTTATTTTTGATTGCGAAATAGCTGCATCGTGAACAGAAAATGAACATTGGTTTGTTTATTTTTTAGATAACGTCTATATTTCAGTATTAATAATAGACATCAACGACAGATTCTTTAAGACAAAAAACCATTAATGAAATGAAAATCAACAGGAATTTCCAAGGTATTCACAGAGCACCTTCACATACAAGAAGTACAGCAGTATCAGCAAAAGCAAGTCTATGAATAAAAATAAATAGGATACCTTTAAGATGAGCAGCAAAATATCTAAGATTAAATTTATGGCGCTGCTAACGTTTGATGAAATGCACATTCGCTGACGAAGATTGACGGAGGCATATGCGTTATGGACTGGTAGTCCACCTACCTGATTAGGAGATTCACTGAGCGACAACGATGGTCGCTCACTGAACGAGGTGCTTGCGTTGCTGCAGCGCGTTTCTTTTGCAACATCGCAAACGTCACATGGTACTTGGCGACAACCGTCAGTTGCATACCCTGTGTCAGAATTTTCGGTAACATTTCTCTGAAATACTTTGTTCATGGGTTCACAATCACGCAAGCCTGACCTAAACAGAAATCTTGACATTCATCGTAAATAAGACGACGCCGTCCACTTTTCTTACATTGGTGGTTTGCGCTTTCTGACACCACGGTCTGCTGAGTCAAATGACTTTTCAGGGAAATTATTCGCGTTCGCCATGTTTCTTCGACCAGAATGCAAAGTATTCTGAACAAAAATCGCTAACAGGTATTATGAGAAATGTACACTAAGTTAGGTTAAAATTAGTGCATGAAAACTTTCACTTTTAGTAGTAAACAAATATCACGAAGATGTTGACAGTCCAACAACAAACAACGAATTGCTTATAAAGAACACAGAAGAAAGAACAGAACATGAATAAGCATACACAACAGAACATTAAATGAAGTTTCTCAACATGCCTTCTGACGACTGAATCGTTGCGTGTTCACGCTAAAGCTAGCAAAATGGACCTGCCGTAAAACGCCCATTCGTGCATAGATGTTAGTGCGTTGTTTACCGCTAAAAGGTATCTTCCCCATACTACTTATAAGTTTATCATGCAGCATACGTTTGCAGTTACCATGCATTTTGAAACTCATTCAAACAGTCACAGATATTGCATTAGAGCGACTGGCAATTCATCTAAACGATCACCTATGGATATAGACAAGGAGTCAGCAAAAACCAGGAGATACCTCCATGAATAAAGGTAAAATATATGTAAAAGAATGATCTCACAATAACTTTGGATGCATGCAAATTTTCGAGTCCAAGAGCACAGGCAGAAGCCCTGAATCGCTTTGGGACTATTAATCTTTATTTGTCTGTGTCAGGAGAATTAGAACCGAGAATAAAGATAAGATACTACGAGTGATAAAATATTTAGGCAGAAATAGAGAAAAAAAATTAGAATCGTTAACAACTAAAAGAGGCTGTTCATTCACTGTTACAAAGCTGCCAAAAATGAAATTATCGGCGGAGACCTTGAGCATTACATTTCCAAATTTTTATTCTGGCAATGATTTTGTCAATACCAACAACCCCTTCGACTTTACTGCTTCGCAATCGGCGTGATTCTGACTGGTTAACAATATCCCATCGGACATGTCACTCGCAGTGCGCAAACGTTGTTAAGGAATACTGAGAAAGTGCATGATGTACTGATCAAAAAAACTCGTTTCATTAATTAAATGCTGTACCTGAGAAAGGGTCGTTTCTG